AAAACGTGATATTCAGAAAAGCCTATTTTAATTATTGAAAATCATTAGAAAAACAAGCACTATTCATCAAAAAAATATTGTATAGGATTTTCTTGCTTGACTTGGTTCACAAAGCTATTTTTAATGTTCCATCAGTAGTCTGCCATCATGTGGGCATGGCAGTGACCTTGGTACCACTCCTCTCTATAGAACTGTTCCGCTTGTTCTTCACTCAGATCATCAATATTTTCAGGGAAATGGTTCAAATAACTGTGTAGGAAGTGTACTTTGATACCTATATTACAACAAAGCTGTTGGAAGTGCGACAATATATTTTCAACGTGCTCAGCATTGTTTTCAATCTTTTTGTTTCCCAGAAAATTTTGTGCCATCCATACGAATTTTTTCCAGGCGTTTATTTCAATAACAGTCATATAACTATCTGAGTTTTCGTCCTTCATCATCCTTATCATTTGTGGACCATCGAAAATTCCGGCTTTCAGTTTCTCTGTACTCATATAATGAAACTTTTTAGAAATGTATTCAAAACAATCACCATCTGTATTCAGAGCTTTGACAAATTGTTTTGTGCGCCCATGTTCGATATGTATTATGCGATCCCTAGGTATCAGTGGTTCATTTATCACATTCAGTTTTCCCGAAACCATAACTTGCATGAAAAACCAGTCTTTTCGAACCCAGTGCTGAGACTTAGCTCTCTTATCCCATAGACTAATGAACAAGGATATTTTTTAAAGCCTCCTTGTTGTCTGAGCAGAAAATTCACACACACACATTTTAGGCTACGTTTAGAGTAATAAATAAGCGCCATTCCTTCGGATCATATTTGTCCATTTCCATTGCTTTTATTAAACGAAGTCATCATCCTAAGAAAAGATTGTAAGTAAATCCCCTTCCTGTGCCCATAGTACAAAATTCGTGTTTCTTGAGTTGAAGATTTTAATGTTCAAATCAAGAAGCTAGAATCTCCGGAGCTTTCTTAGAAAGGCCAAGGTTCCCGATCAATGCATTGAACTCTTCCTGGTTGAAGGGCACTGGTGAAATTTGTGGATTAAAATCAGTTGTTCCACTTTCATCACTTCAAAAAGAGATTTTTTCATCTTAGTTGTGATCAATTTGTGTTGATGGAGATGTTTGTGGCACTGATGCATCGCCTAAGTACAGGATTGGTCCAGTAATAGGTAACACGTTAGGATAAAACAGTTAGACCGGTTTCTCTTATTGACCCTGTTTATATCAACCACTCAAAGATACATTTTTTTTATGTTTTGATGAATCCCGCCAGATCATTGGTGTTTGATACTGGAAATAGGGTATTTTCTACAAACTACAAAGTGTATATTCACCACAGATGACACAGAAATAGTTGAGATCGTTTTCACAGATATGTCCCTATGTAGATATTGTAACAAAAACTGCATTTGTAAAAGAATCACTAGGTTTTATTTGAGTTATGTGTAACTATAGTACAATTCTATAAAAGTTGGCACTGAATTTTCAGAAATAGTACTGCATTAAAACGAAAACACTGCTGTCAAGGTTGTGATTCTATATAATTTATTATCTTTTTTCATTTGTTTGGTATAATTTCCGTACGCCACTGCAAGAGACAGATTAAGGCTAAAACTTCAATTATTTCTGAGAATTTAGTGCCCACTATTTCAGAATTATAATACAAATATGGTCATTAGCTACATCTCAAAAACTAGAGCTGTTGGAAAAAAGGCGATCTCGAGTTAGTAAACATTTGTTAAGAAATTCCACGCAACAAAAAAAATAATTTCTTGTGTAACGATTCACAGACTCTCTCCTATTTCTTGATTGAACGTCAATTGAGAACTATACAAAATCCGCTGTTCTATGAGACAAGGATTTTGAAAACAATTGTCGAAGCTATGTTTGCGTCGAGTTCAACATGACTGTGTCTCTTCAAAATATTCACTTGGTGTTTTTAGGACTTGCTTAATCTATCAATTATCACCAGTTTATTATATCATTTTAAGTATTTTTTAATGTTCTACACAAACTTCGCTGGATATTTTTTTGTCGTATAAGAATGATGTTTTATAATTAAATAGTGAAACAATTGACAACATTTTCAGAGTTGGCAACATCGAAAACGTACCGCAAGGCGTAACTGAAAAAACTTCTCTCAAAAATAAAAAATATAGCAAGTGTGTTAGTAAAGAGACAGAGTTTTGAGCAAAAAAAAAACTTTCCAAATTGCTCAATCCTCTGAGAGTAATTGTCATTGGCCATTTTTTTGAAAATTGAATGGTACCTCAAATTATTAATCATTGCAACTTCACTTTTGGAAATCGGTTCACTCGTTTAGAAGATATGAAACTTTTTAAAATGCCTACAATACGTAAAAATGCAACAAACAAATGGATTTTACTTATCGTAAAATCAAGTAAATCTCAGAAAGTCGGTCAACCTCCATGTAGATGAACAAACAAACAGTGGCGTAACGTGGGTATCGGCTGCCCGGGGCGAAAGACAATTTTGCCATCCTCTTAATTAGGTATTTCAATTTAATGAGTACTATACATACAATATAATTCTAGAGAACTTTTCGGCAAGAATAGTCATCATCTGTTTGCATTATATAAGTTAGATTTCAAATAAAAAAGTTTATTTGTCTTACAATCACGTTTATTAATACAAAAATTCTTACTTCAATTATTGATTTAACAAGTACATAGGTATTATTTATTCGACATGATTAAATAATTAGCGAATTGAATATAAAACGAAAATCAGTTTTTAATTAGAATAAGGATGATACTATTAAGTNAAATACATTTTAACATTCAATTCCATAAATAAAATATTTAATACTAACACAGTTGAATGTAGGTACACGTAGGTGAAAATTAAAATGTTCACTAAGTTATTCAATAATTTTATGACTACACGTACTCATTTGCACAAAAATCACAACAACTGAACTGAACTGAAATGAAGATCCATATTAAAGCTTTCTTTGAATTGTCAAAGCATCACGTACTTTCTTGAAGGGACGTAATAAACAATATTGAACTTAATAAATATGTAATAGAAGTCATTCTCGCTGATTATAACTCATAAACAATACAGACAAAAAATAAAATATGGGAAATCCCCGCAAGTCAGTATAGACGGTGTTACCATTCTCTACAAAATATCATTTAAAGAAGGGAGATTTCACGAATTCTTCACAGAAAAAGTAATGAAAAATTCCGTGCTATTTTTCATCGCTGTGAATGTATTGTTGAGTTAAAATATGAAATTGTTCAAATATTTACAAAATATATTTTATTATTTACTGTTAAATTTTGCCGCCCGGGGCGGGCCGCACCCCCCGCACCCCCTACGCTAAAAGTAGCAGTGAATAAATACTCAAAACACAATTAACTACAGCAATAATAAGAACAATTGCGAGACCGTTTAATTTTATTTTATTCGAGTCAAATTGTTCCAGACCTTCGCCCTAGTTACAACGATTTTAATTGAACTTATATGTAGGCGGAATTGGAATAATTTGATACGAGGGGAACTACTTATTTATATTTTGGGCTCTATAATTAAAAGACAGTTATTTGTCATTGGAATTGACTTCATTATTTGTCTCTTTTATTCTCATAACTAAATTGCTCCTCAGCCAATCTAAAAAATAAGTGGTAACAATACTTTCCGATTGATTGAGTTAATACCAATTCAGACTTTTTATCGATCTTTTAGAGTATTTTCACAATCTTAAAAAAATTCTAATGGAGAACTTTATACAGCTGTAGAGGGGCAAACTTTTTAATTCACTCCGATGAGTTACGCAGTAACTAAGAAATTGCTCGGAATACACTTCTCTCCAGAGAGTGAGGTTCATTTGCAATCATTCTCGTTTTATTCCAGTCATCTCCAAGTTGACCGTCTGATTTCAAAATATATTATGACAATTTGATCCTGTTGATAGTTTAATTCTAATGTAATCTCGATATACATTCTTGTGTACTTTTAATGGTCTCGAAATTTCACCAATATAAATTTTACTACCAGAACAAGGAAATGCACTGTTTGGAACCTTTGGTGTATTAATGTATATTACTGGAGTTCAGATCCCTTGGTAATAACGTGTCGAGGTGTTAGAAATAAAGGTTTGGTGTTGGGACTAAACTCCAGTTAGGAAGATTAAAGAGTTTAATCTTCCTATTGAAGATGATCCCTTGATTATTGAAACACATGTCGAGGTGTTAGAAATAACGGTTTGGTTTTGGGACTAAACTCCAGTAAATAAGATTGAACAGTTTAATCTTCCTCTTGTATATGATCCCTCGGTTATTGAAACACGTATCGAGGTATTTAAAAGAACGGTTTGGTGTTGGAACTGAACTCCAGTAAAAACAAGGTATCTCATAAATGCAACTTTTTTCTTCATACGTTGTTGGGTTTTGGAAGAAGGGTATATATCTCAGTGTATTTGTGGTTTTGTAGGAAGATATAACATCATATCTATTTCCAAATCATCCTATCTTTTCATATATTTATGTATTATATGTCGGTCGGTAGCCGATCGGTTCGATATGGGCTTTGTTCACTCATTCAAATCGGCCGCCGTGTTGCTCGGTGGTTCAAGCCTCAGACTGAATGATCGATTTTCACTTGATATCGTCCAACCCGTGTAAAGAATCACACGTTAAAACGTAAGACCTCGTTTGTCTTTAGCTCGCACAAGTTTTGACTTCTGAGGGTTGTCGTTCGTAGGGCTGTGCCAACTGGTTAACGGAAAAACAGATTTTTGAACAGATAAGTATCTATCTGTATGATTTCTTAGCTTTTTTTGGTAAAACCATTAATCACCACATCGTATAAAACAAAGTCGCTTCCCGCTGCCGCTGTATGCTTAGATCTTTAAAATTTCCAGTTAGAAGACCTAGAATTCCTAGGCTACATCTAACATGACCACGTAGGCAGCTATAGCTGTGAAAAACTTTACAGGGCAAAAACAATATGCAATACAGCTGAAAATTTTTATAAAGAAGTATCATTGATACATTATATCTGAAAGAAAACGCTTATCCAGTTTCATTCACAGATTAAACAATAAATACAATAGAAAATAATCAGTCAATTAGAAATTAACACCCAGCATCACGAATTCAACAACCACCAACTCAACAATTACCGACTCAACAATCACCGTCAATTTCACAGGAAGGTGTTTGCGGTGGAAGGGGTTGAGGTTGAGTAGTATTTTTACGTTTGTTTTTTATTTTAGAAATAACTTTCAAAACACCCATTTGGAATTCAAGAATTTCACTGTGGTCGAAATTGTTCAAATGTGGCAAAAGACCTTGAAAGAAAGAAATATGAGGACTAAGTGGTGGTTCTTCTAATGCTTTTATCTTTTTTAGCTCAACCTCATCAGGCTGGCGACGTCTTTTGTGTTCTCGCGGTTTGGGGTTCTCACGGATAGTCTCCTTGGTGGGTAGTGGAGCTTCGGGTAAAGTATCAATATCTTCATCTTCATTGTTGTCCGTTCTACCTTCTAAACTTTCTGCAATTTCCCTCGTCTGGAACAATTTATTTAAAAATTGCATTTGGTCAGCGTAGACGTACTTCTTAATGTTACGGGCACCAGCTCCACTTTTCTTACGCTCTTGTATCTTCCTCTTCGATTTTGAGAACGCATCCCGAAGATTGCCCCATCTCTTTGTTACTTCTTTTCCTGAAACAATTATTTCTAATTAGTGTTTTACTAAAAAATAAAATTTTCAATTAGTGTTCTAATTAGCGTTAAATTGTAAACCTTTTTATAAAGCATGATACTGATACTAAACCATTTTTTCCAGATATCTTGCTAATGGGTGCACATTCACTGACCTGAATTACTCCTTCACAGTTGGAATTTATACTCCAAGGAAAATAATAAAAGAAGTATGCCAAGCCATCTGGTTAGTAATGAAAAATGAGTGTGTACGTGAACTCTCTGAAGATTATCTTGAAACCATTGCTTCTGATTTTGAAAAAAATGCCAATTTTCCACATTGCTTAGGTGATGTTGATGGCAAGCACGTTCGTATAAATTGCCCGATAAGAAGTGGTTCCATGTTTTTCAATTACAAATACTATTACTCTGTAGTATTAATGGCAGTAGCTGATTCAAAATACCGTTTTGAGTATGTTAATGTTGGAAGCTTTGGCAAAGATTGTGATAACTCCATTTTCAGGCAATTTACTCTTTGGCAATCAATACTGACAAACTCATTGCAATTAATTACCTTAAGAAAAATACCTGCCGGAGACAGAATCTCCTAAAGTTCCTTACTATTTTGTTGGAGATGAAGCATTTGGTCTTCACACACATTTAATGAGGCCCTAAGGTGGAACACACCTAACGCTTGAAAAGAGAATATTTAACTATCGTTTATCGATCATCAATAGAGTTGTTCTCGAGCATTCGAAGCGATAACATGTTAAGATGGACGCAATTATTGATACGTTTGTACTCAATGCGAGCAATGAAGAGATAGATATAGTAATAGCCATGATATCCAAACTACTAGATCTATACGAAGTTTCACCACAGGAACTCGTTTCGACGCACATACTAATGCGAAAAAGAAGACAGGAACTAGAACAGAAAAGATCCTGCGGATACGATAAAATGACGGATGACCAAATTCATGATATGTTAGGCTATTCCTCGAAAGACAGCCTTGAAGAAGAGGAGATTATCAATAAAAAACGCCGGCGGAGACAGAGTCTCCCAAAAAGCCACAACAACCTAAAATAAACAGCAAGACCAAAACACAGGCATGAAGCGAGGTGTCAAAAACAGAAAAGACGGAAATGCCGCCTAGAAAACCCAAAAAACTCAGAGCCAATAACCCTGAAAACAAAAACATCCAAGCCAACGAGGTCCCAAAACCTCAAAAACCCGAAGAAAACCATACATCCGAAGATATGGAAACTGAAATACACGAGGAGGAGGTCACGATGCCTAAAACAACACAGGCAACCGGCCCAAAAACAATCAAACCACCACCTATCACTATCAGACAAAAAGATAAGTGGGCAGAATTCAATGAAACTGCTGCACGAGAAAATGTAAACTTTACGATGGCGGTAAACACAAATGATGGTGTCAAAGTCCAACCCGCAAGCAAACGACTTCAGAAAAATGGTTCGATTACTAGACCAAGAAAAAATCCCGCATCATACATACACAATGCAAGAAGTAAAACCACTAAGAGTAGTATTCCGAGGTGTGCCTGAATTCCTCGAAACCGAAAAAATCAAAGACGACATGAAAGCCAAGGGCTTCGATGTTATATCGGTAGCCAGACTGAAGAAACAAAACAAAAAGCCACTCCCGCTCATATTGGTCCTCGTCACCAGGAAACAGAGCCATATATACGAAGTCAGGGAAATCTTAAATGTGAGAGTGAAGAGTGAGCCACAAAGACCACGAACAGCAGTGGGGCAGTGCTACCGCTGTCAAAAGTTTGGACACCGCAGAAAAACTGCAAAGCAGTCCCTGCGTGTTTAAGATGCGCCGGCCGCCACCTAACGGCCGAGTGTAAAAAGCCGAAGCAAGCCCCGGCGAAATGCTATTGTAAAGGGGAACACCCAGCCGACTATCAAGGGTGCCCGGAACATCCCAAAGAGAAAAAGGCCAATACCAAAGCCAGAGACCTACCAGCCCAAACAAAAAGGCCGACAGGAACAAATACAAACACGACAGAAACGGAGTCTCATATGCGAGGGCCGTAAAATCCACAAATAGCAGTGACCCTAGCTCGGTCGACGGCCTATGCACGGCCTTCGACCAACTATAGACNCTTTTAAGGATTTCAAATCTATTTATATTATATTAGACAATGGAAGCCCGAACTGATGAAATACAATATTAAAATACTTCACATTTCAGAAATCCTTTGACATCTGTTTAGAAAAGAAAGGAACCAGCGAAGAAAAAACTGCGAATACCCTGGGTTTTCCATTTCTGAAGACGGAGGCAGATTTTAGCCTCCAAAACTTTGAGATGTGTATAATTAAATTTTATGCAGCAACTTATCGGGATGAACACCCACGTATCTGAAGGATGAAAAAGAATGATGAAACTCTCAGGACTGTAGAAATACTCAAAATGCACATACCACCTAAACGGGGTTAGCTAAAGTGATATATACTGCTCGCCACTCGTTATGGAACAACCCATTTTTACGGTAAAACATACTAGGGGGCAAAGTGGGCTCAAAATTCATTTCGATTCGTGATCAGGACTACCAACTTACTATGAATACACTTTTTGCCTGAAAAATTCGAATTTGTCAGTTAATTCTTATGGAAACACTTATGGTAGATTCTTTTTGGTTTTGACATGAAAACATGAACTTGTCCTAGAAAATCAGAATTTTTAGATGAAAAATCATTTGTTTAAAAAAGACTTGACTTCTGTTTCCACATAAATAATTTATTTTTTATTTTGGGTCAGGAAAGCTGATTTGTAAGTGGAATAGAAACATGATAACAGTGAGGTTTTAGGATGGTTAATGTTAATTTAGATTCTCATCTTCCCAATATTTTCAAAAAACCAAGTGATTTTGTGGCGAAAAATTTTATGTAGTTCAAAACTCCTTCAAATTAGTACTTTCAAAATCACGTTTTTAATTAAAAAATAACACAATCAATTTAATTGATTTAATTTTTGACAATTTTATATTTTTGTGCCTTCTATCAAACTTCCCTCCAAGCTTCTATTATTTTCTCCAACTCTTCTCAGTTCTCTAGGTGTGATTTCTCTACACGCCCGTATAATTCTTTCACGGAAATCTTCCCTGTTTGTTGGCCTACCCTTATAAAATTTATTTTTCAACGTTCCTCATAAATAAAAATTCAGTGGAGTTGGATCTGGGGTTCGTGGTGGCCATATTACGAGAGCGCTATTTGGTCCTATCCATTTCACAGGTAAGTTCCTATTCAACCAAACCCTTGTTATGTCACTATTGTGAACATAAAAAAAATTCTGTCATTGAGATAATTTCCCTGCATCCATAAACAATACTCCATCTGGCGGCTTTCATCTCGTTCGTGCAAAATATGTAGAAATTTAAGTTTGAACGCATGCATGTTATGCCTCTTTAAACACCGCCATATTTTACTGCAGCTCATATTGAGTTGAAGCGATAAGTTTCTCAAACTAATTCTAGGATCAGCTTGATGAGCCTCCAATATCGTATCATCATCAATAT